TGCTCGTCCTACCTCCCATGTTCCGCGTACTCACCGCGTGTCCTTGCCTCTCTTGTTACCGGACCCGTCCGTTCTTGTCTCGAGTCTGTCGGCTCTTGTCGCTGCGGTCACTGACTTTGCCACTACCCACCGCCTGGACTACGCCACCGCTCTGGTCTCTGACCCTGCCTGCCCTCCGCTCGTCGAGCGGTGGCTGCCCTTGGCAGTGATGTCCTAGAGGACAGGCAGTACAAGCTTGCTTTCCTGTCTGAGGCCGCTCCCCATCTCTGTTCCATGCTACTAGTCCCTGAGGGTGACCCAGACGCCCTTGACATCCCGACCCCTCGCACCTACGTTGAGGCCACCTCGTGACCCTAGGCCTCTCAGTGGATAGCTGCCATGGAGCAAGAGATGGCATCTTGGAAATCCACGGGTACCTTCGTCGACGCAGTTCCCCACCTGGGGTGAACGTAGTCGATGGCCGATGGCTCTTCAAGGTGAAGCGCCCTCCTGGAGTGCCGCCCGTCTTCAAGGCGCGCTACGTCGCTCGAGGCTTCAGTCAGCGAGAGGGGGGTGGACTTCTTTCAGAACTTCGCCCCGACCCCGAAGATGACTACTCTTTGGGCACTGCTACACGTAGCAGCTCAGCGTGATTACAAGCTCCACTCCCTCGACTTCTCTACAGCTTTCCTCCAGGACAGTCTACACGACTAGGTCTACATGCGCTGCCCCAGGGCTTCTCCGGTACCTTTCCCTCTGGTACCGAGTGGCTCCTCTAGCGCCCCGTCTACGACTTGCGACAGGTGCCCCGTGAGTGGCACGTCACGCTGCGTGCTACACTTGCTGACCAGCAGTTCTTCCTGTCATCTGCAGACCCCTCCCTCTTCGTCCGTTCCGGCCAGACTCCATTCTACATCCTTGTCTACATAGACGACTTGGTCTTTGCTACAGCAGACAGAGACGCGCTGGCCACCATGAAGGCCGAGCTGCTGAGGAGACACACCTGCACTGACCTAGGAGAGCTGCGCCGCTACCTTGCTTGCACATCTCAAGGGAACGAGCAGCGCGCACCATCACTCTCTCACAGTCACACTTGGTGCGCCATGTCCTTCAGAGGTTCGGCCTTGATATCTCTTCCGCACAGCCCACCCCTCTACCAGTAGACCACAGACTCTATGCTCCAGTCCCGGAGGAGGATGTAGAGCCTAGTGGCCCCTACGCAGAGCTGGTGGGTTGCCTCATGTACCTGATGACTTGCACTTGTCGAGATCTCGTATACCCTCTCAGCATCTTGGCTCGCTTTGTGGCCACCGGCAGACACCGACCACATCCACTGTTGGGAGCTAAGAAGGTTTTGCGTTATCTAGCAAATACATCGGGCTTGGGGCTAGTGCTAGGAGGCCGCAGACCAGTAGTCCTTACCGGCACACAGACGCTTCTTGGGCCGACGACGCCGAGTCTCTCCCGGTCCTCCCAGGGCTATTGCTTTAGCCTTGGTTCAGGTGCTGTCTCGTGGCGGTCCACCCGCTCGTCGTCTATTGCCCAGTCTAGCTGTGAGGCTGAGATCTATGCTGGTGCCATGGCGGCACAGGAGCTCCGTTGGCTGACTTTCTTGCTCACAAACTTAGGTGAGCGGCCTAGCTTTGCCCCAGTTCTGTACGCTGACAACAAGGCCATGATCCTCCTGTGTCAGGAGCCCAGACTTGAGGGCAGAGCAAAGCACATCCAACTGCGGTACTTCCTGTTTCGTGAGCTACAGCAGTGTCGCCAGGCCCGCGTAGTACACTTGGCCTCTGGTGCCAACACATCTGATATATTTACGAAGGCGCTTGCGCCTAAAGATCATCAGCGGCACTGTGTACAGCTTGGTCTAGTTCCTGTAGCCTCTCATTTGCAAGGACCTTGATTGTGTACAGACCTTTATATATATTACCCTGACTGGCCTTGTGGCCTCTTCCCAGTGGCTGGACTAGTAGTGCCACCCTGGTTTTGCTCTTGCCTTGTCTGTACTCGTTTGACTGGTCTTCAGACCCTTGTCTCAGAGGTTGGACTAGTAGTGCCACCTTGTGCTACTTGTCTCTCACTAGGCACTGCCGCTATCCAGTCTAGGGGGTGTGGTCAAAACATATCTTTGTATGTTGTTATAGACTACACTGGGTTGTGCCTTAGAGAGTACAACCCACTAGGTTATATTCCCTTGTTATGCCATGGTTCTAGTTATTCGTTAACTTTGACAGTCTGTGGCTGCTTCGTAAGACTCGGCAACGGATTCATCTTGCACATCAGCCTCAATATGTCGATAGCGAAAGCACGCGAGCTTTCGAACAGCCTGGCGGGATTGGCAGCTGCTGCCTGGTGAGTACGAAAAACAGGTAAGGTGAGTCGTTCGTAAAAAGACAATCACGTGCTGTATGATTTGACTCGGGCGAAGATCCATAATTTTCCATGCGTAAAACTGTTTTCTCGATGCCAATATGAATCCCCCACTTAGCCCTTTCCGAAAAATTCCCCAAGTGCTGTAGTTGGAGGTCGTTATTGGTTGGCGAAGAAAATTGTGGAAGAGATGTTGTGCACAGCAATTGTGCAGAAGAACTACATGATCCAAAGCGTATGTAAAAAAATGTGGTGTTCAGCCTCTCCGCTACCCCCATCTGTTGGTGTTGAAGTGGCAGAGACCCTCGGCGTTTGATGCCTAGGGTTTGAAGATACTTAGAGAAGGTTGTGTTCGTATACTCTCCTGCGCCGTCACTCTGAAATTCTTGAAGCTTTTCCTTCGACTCTCTCTCAGCCACCGCGAGTCATGCAACGAAGATAGAGTGAGCCATATGGCGAGTTGGAATATTGGCAGTCCAAACGTAGCGAGTAGAAGCTTCGATAAAGGAGATCATATAGAGGCTCCCCTTTAGGTCCTGCTTCAGGTAAGTTGAGTATGTCGCTGTAGACTTTGCATAAGGGTGTAGCGAGTTGATCCTCGAAAATGACTTGGAAAAGGTTCGTGAGGAAGATTAGCAGTGGTGCACGTCGTGCAGATTGTCCGTCGAGAAGACGGCTTCATCTCTGTTCCATGTGTTGTGTGATGTCATCATATGCTATCACATTCTGTCTGCCTCCCATCCCATGTTTTCAACTTGCATGTGTGGTTTGAATGTGCAAGATTTGTGTGGTGTGTTCTGGAGTTTGGGAATGTGTTGTGTTATTTTGTTGAGCAGGTATTTGTGATGATAGATCTTGAGAAGATCTTTCCGACGCAACAAGAATCGCTTCAATCGGAGCAAGAACGCGAAAGCTATGAAGATTCAAAGTTCATGAGCTTGCGTTACAATTGCGGCGGTTACAAAGTGAAGTTGTGGGGTGACTTTATATGGAGTTGGGACCTTTGGGGTTGGGGAAATTGTCACTCTACTGTAACAGCTGCAAATTGGTTGGGAACAACCAAGCTAGGTTGGCAAGGGTGGCCAACTTGGATGGATTGGTTGGGAAGGGACAAATGTCAAAGTTGGGGTTCCTATAGGGAGGGAATCTTTGTGCTTATGGGGTTTCCTTGGTTGGGGACTCTCTTGGGACCTTCCCTCTCATCCCTCTCTTCCTATCCCAACCTTTCTCTTGCTCCTTCTAATTCCTTGTGAGATTCTTGAACTTTGATTGAACTCTTGAGATTGAGTTAAGTTCTCCTCCTACAGCTTACCCCCTAGTGCGTCGAAAGCCATAGCGTCGCGAATACTTCATCAATCAACGTGATTCAAATTGGGAACGGTAGCTGAGATTAAGAGCTACAACATATCCAAGTTTCGCGACATTCCAACGGCTAGTTTTTGTCGACGTCGTTTCTTGTGAAGACGACTTTTCTGTCCAGAATTTCGGATTTATATTTTGAGTAATTCTAGCTCCTAAGTTCACCTAGACTCCGTCCTTAATCCTAACAAGTGGTATCAGAGCATATTAAGGACATTGAGAGGAGTCTACAGAAGTGTGAAGACCCTTCTAGACCCACCATGGCCTGTGGGTGTGCCTAAGTGGTGTTCTAAAGGTTGGATGTGTCTTCCGCTAAGGGGAAACTCTGCCGAAATTTCGTGGACGCCGACACTTGTGAAAATATCGAGGGAGCTGAGTGTGGACAGCAAAGGGGAGCTGAAATTCGTCATTTCTCAAGGAGAAGATGAATGAGAGAGGAGGAGATGCTAATGGAAGAGGAGCTGTAGCTGAGAAGACAAGTGAGCCGCCGCCATCAAAAGTTGAAGCTTTGGATGGCTCCAACTATGAGGAATGGAGCGGACGGATGAGGAGTGCCTTCAAACGCTACAAGCTACTGAAGATTGCTGTTGGGGAAGAGAAGATGCCGGAAGAAGGCGAAGCACGTGAACGGTGGATTGAGAAAAGCGCGGTGCTTTTCGACCTCATCCTTCAATCGGTCAACAAGGAGATGTTCGAGCACATCAAGGATCTTGTGGAAGCGGATGATTCGGGTCCAAGGGCGTGGAAACTACTACGTGATGTGATTCAGCCCAACACTCTCCCGATGGTGATCGTGCTCGAGAAGGAACTTGCTGCCATCTCCATGCGACCAGGGGACGATGTGAAGCCGGTCCTTGACAAGATCAAGGACACCTATGCAAGGATGGCAGCAGCGGGCAGCAGTGTATCTCAGCTGCAGCAGTGCACCAAGATCATCTCGGTGTTGGACAACTCTTGGGACAACCTCATCCCCACCCTCAACTCTCAGCAAGATCAATGGACACCTGAGTGGCTAAGGCAGCAGATTCTGCAGGAGGACTTCCGCAGACGCCATGTGGGAGGCGGTGCTGCCACTAAGACTGCTGAGGGGTATGGAGCTGCAGGGCGCGGCAGAGGAAGAGGGGGTTGGAGAGGCCGAGGCCGTGGGAGGAGCTTTGGCAGAGGTAGAGGCCGAGGTGACTATAATGAGGGGCATGGGAGCTCCAGTGGCAGGGGGAGTACCAGAATGGAGGGCACCTGCTGGTACTGCAAGAAGGTCGGGCATCCTTGGTTCAAGTGCTTCAGCAGGCCGGAGGGATGGGCACCTCCAGGCATGAAGCCGCCCAGTGGTGAACGCGCACAAGGTGGCGCTGTGCAAGGCTCAGGTGCACAAGGTGAAGGTGCACAAGGTAATGCCTATCCTGGTGTTTCTTATGGTTGAGGATGTGCATGGGCATGAGGGTGATGTGGGATCTGTGGGAAAGGTTGTGATGCACCCTCTCACGCACTGGGTGATTGATTCGGGTTGCACCAGTCACATGACCCCACGGGCAGATTTGCTTGATGAGGTAAAACCCCCTGGGAAGATTAAGTATGTGGCAGCAGCGTCAGGTGCTTTGCTCCCTGATTGGTGTTGGGAATGCCAAGGTTAAGGGAGCTAATGGGGAGCTTGTGGGGCTTGGGAATGTTCTGCTGGTTGAAGGCTTGTCTGCTAACCTTCTCTCTGTGCGGCGACTGCAGAAGAGCAAGGCCGAAGTGACCTTTGGACCAACCAGCTGCCGTGCTAAGCTTGGGAAGAAGGTGCTGTGGAGTCTGGAAGAGGAGACCAGCTGCATCAAGGACCTGTGGCAGCTGCCCATCATCCCTTGGAATGGGAAGACTCCAACAGCAGCAACGGCAGCAGCGGCAAAGGCAACAGCAGGAGGAGATGCAACTGCACCAACTGATGGGGTCCTGGAAGCAGTCAAGAAAGTGCAGCAGCAGCAGACACATGGTGAGGTGCTTGCTGGTGTGGATGCGAGTGCGGCATGGGCTAAGGCTTCATCAAGGAGTGGAGAGGCCGATTGGGAGACATGGCATGAGAGGCTGTGTCATGTGAACTTCCCTATGCTGCAGAAGTTGGTGAAGGATGGGAGCCTGAAGGGCTTGGAGGTGAAAGGGGGAGTGAAGGAGATTGGGAGCTGCCCTACATGCTTGGAGACCAAGTTCTCCAAGTTCCCCTTCAACAGCACTACAGGACCAGCCAAGACCCCACTTGCACTTGTGCACATGGATGTGGTGGGGCCCACAAGAGCCCCTTCCCTCTCAGGCAGCCGCTATTTCTTGACAATTGTGGATGACCACACTCGGGCAGTGTGGGTTTACCCTTTGAAGAGCAAGGGGGAGGTGGCAGCGGCTGTCCTTAAGGAGTGGATGCCTAGAGCTCAGAGGGAATGCGGACACAAGGTGAAGGTGATCCGTAGTGACAATGGTGGGGAGTTCATTGGAGCTGATTTTGAGGGGGAGTTGAAGAGGAAGGGGATCCAGCAATCAACTGACAGTGCCCTACAACCCGCAGCAGAATGGCGTGGCTGAGAGGTTCAACAGGACCCTGCAGGAGGGGGCACGCACTCTCCTTGGGCGTGCAGGGCTGCCTGATCCGTTTTGGGTGTCTGCACTGAGGCAGGTCGCCCTTGTGAAGAACAGGGTGCTGGCTACAGTTGGAGATAAGGAGTGGATCCCATATGTCAAGTGGTATGGGAGTGCTCCAGCTGTGAACATGCTGAGGGCATTTGGGTGCATGGTGGTGTTTCATGTGCCTAAGGAGAAAAGGGGGAAGTTGGAGGCTTCTGGAAGATGGGGTGTGCACTTGGGGATTGCAAAGGATCACAAGGGGTGGCTGCTATGGGACTTGACCACCCAGAAGTTGACAGTGTCAAGGGATGTGAAGTTTCTTGAGTCCCTGTACTACAAGGAATGGAAGCAGCAGCAACAGAAGCTTCCATCTACACCGCTCATTGTGGAGGCAGATGAGGTGCAGCAGCCTTCAAGACAGGTGGAGGTTGCAGTGTCAGAGGAGGAGATGTCTGGGGTGACTGAGGAAGGGGGAGCAGCTGAAGTAGGAGCAGCAGCAGCAGCATGAGTCTCCACCTCGAGTTCCACACCCGCCTGAGCGTCCTAGGAGGGATGTGCGCCCTCCAGTGAGGCTGACCTATGGGGGAAGAGGCAAGCCGAATGTGGTGCAGGCTGGGAGTGTGGTTGAGCAGATTGAGGAAGATGAGATCGCTCACTGCTACTGGGCACCAATCCCTGAGCCCAAGACTCGAGAGGAGGCCTTGAATGGACCAAATGGGGAGAAGTGGAAGGCGAGTGAGGATGAGGAGTTCGGGTCCCTAATTGAGAACGAGACATGGGACCTGTGTGACTTGCCTCCTGGAAAGAAGGCAATCACTTCCAAGATGATCTACAGGCACAAGTATGGACCTGAAGGGGAGCTGACCCGCTACAAGTCTAGGCTTGTGGCACGGGGGTTTCAGCAGACAAAGGGGAAGGACTATGATGAGGTGTTTGCTCCTGTGGGGAAAGGAACAACACTGAGGGTGCTGTTGGCGATAGCTGCACTCCTGGGATGGAAGATACGGCAGATGGACATTGTGACTGCCTTTCTGAATGGGATCATTCTGGAGGAGGTGTACATGAAGCAGCCAGAGGGGCTGGATGATGGGAGCGGCAGGGTCTGCAGGCTGAAGAAGGCCATCTATGGCCTTAAGCAGGCGCCTCGTGCATGGTATCACAAGTTGGAGGAGGCGCTGTTGGCTGGGGGTTTCAAGAAGAGTGAGTGTGACCCCAGCCTGTTCCTGCTGCAGGAGAAGGATGAAATCCTCATGCTCTTGGTGTATGTGGATGATATCCTTCTCTTTTCTGCATCAACTGCTTTGCTGGACAGCGCAGAGCAGATGCTGGAGATGCAGTTCAAGTGCTCCAAGATGGGTGAGGTGAAGTACTACTTGGGGATGCACGTGGAGAGAGATGTGGAAAAGGGTGTGCTGAGGTTGCACCAGAGGAAGTACTGTGAGGGGCTGGCTGAGAAGTATGGGCTGCAAGATGGGGGAAAGCCAGCAACACCACTACCTTCAGGGTTTACTGTGGAGCCATGTGCTGATGAGGAGGTAGTGGGTGATAGTGACAGGAAGCTGTTTCATTCGATGGTTGGGTCGCTGAATTATGCTGCAAATCATACACGGCCTGACATTGCATTTGCTACATCACGGTTGGCTAGTGTGTCTCACGCCCTAGTCATGAGCAGCTGGAAGCGGCCAAGAGGTTGGTCCGCTATGTGAGTGCTACGGCATCAGTGGGATTGGAGTACAGTGGAGTGAGGCAGCGGTTGCAGAGAGGTGCTGCAGATGTGAAGAGTGGAGATGCTCTTGAGTTGCTATACTGACGCTAGCTTCAACTCAGTGAAAGCGGATGGCACCAGCATTGGGGGTTATGTGTGCTTGCTAGGAGGTGGTGCTGTGAGCTGGCGCAGCAAGAAGCAGAATGAGGTGGGATTGTCCTCATGTGAGACTGAGTACATGGCCTTACACCATGGGGCCAAGGAAGTGGTATGGCTGAGGCGTTTGTTGGAGGAGTTGGGAGTTGGTCAGGAGGAGCCGACAGTTGTGTTCTGTGACAATGAGTCTGCTGTGAAGCTGCCAAG